CACCAGGAAAATTAGTAAGTTTTCACTACAGCCGCCACCTAACAAACCAGAACGGGACAAACTGAGGCCACCTGCTGCCTGATGGGCCTGCTCAGGACACACAGGCACTCTGGCAACTCCTGCCCAAATGTACACCACAGTGTGAACTGACAGCCAGTCTGCAAAACCACCAGCTGATAATGAGAAAAAAAAGGAGGAACCACCCAAGGTTAGAGGCCCAGGAGCTCTGACAGCTGAGCCTAACACACGATCTGGGGTTTCTTTTGCTTCCAAGGACAATACTGGCCCATGAGGGAGATCCAATGAGCAGAAAATAGCCCTGCACGGACATTATTTCTGATTCCGATCATTGTACCACGGTTCGGTAAGAGAATTTTTTTAGGAAATTGAAATATTTAGGGATAAAGTGCATCACATCTGCAACTTACTCCTCAACCTCAGGAAGAAAAATACCACATGTGGAGGGGGAAGAAAGGTAAAGCAGATAGGGCAACATGCTGACCTTTGGAAAATCCGTGTGACACTTATATGAGAAGTCTTGTTACTACTCTTGCAACTTTTCTCTAGGTCTGGAATTATGTCCACAAAGAAGCACAAAGGTACACCAGCTTTGTGACTACTGCAGGGGCAGGTGAGGTGCCAGCAACAGGGCGCAGAGCAGCGGCGGCAGCTGAAGCACCCCCACTGCCTGTCATTCAAGCTGGGCCCATGCGGAAGTGAGAGCCAGGACAGGGCCACTTCAGAGCACGCTGGCCACCTCCGGCCTGGTGACTGAAGGCATGCTTGTCAGAGACAAGACCCAAAGCATCTGAAGAAACTAAAATAAAAACAGACGACCCATTCCCAGTGCCACGGAAAAACTACAAACAGAGCTACTGAGATTCCACAAAGCAATTCTGTACAGAATTCTCTTAAACCTGTATGCACCTCCACTGTGGCCTCCTAGGACTTATTTGACGAAACTCCATTTTCCTAACATGCCTCAAAAGCAAGTGGCACCACCACACCCAGACCCGCCTGCACTGCTGGGTTACACAGGCAGGGAAGGACTCCCAGCCTCGGGGAGGCCAAGCGCCTCCCTAGCCTCAGAATTTCAACATTGTCTCCAGGATGCACCCCAGATTGCTGCTAAGTTCTTCAAAATAGCATGCCGGCAACTTTAAATGCTTCCAGCCTTAAACAGCAATAGCCACCCCGCCCCCATGCTCAGATGAAAAGCACTGCAGGGGACATACGGTATCAGCTAACACGCAAGGCAGACTGAACTCCATCATCCCACCAACTCACAGCCAGCACAAGACACCAATCAGATGGGAGGAAACTAGGAGCACCCACAATTCAAAGCACCACCATAAAACCATGAATGTCTTCTAAAAGTTTCTTCAAAATACAAAGACTAAACAGGTCAACATTTAGCTCAAGTTTGTGAAGTTCTAAGGAATTTTATAAAGTGCTAAGTGAGAAATATTTAAGATCTAGCTACAGTCTTGAGAAATTATATTTATCTTTTAAGATATTACACAAATACTTTGAAATTGATTTGTTCTACTTTGTCTAGATTCTCACTCCCCTAAATAAAAAAAAAAAAAGCACTTTTTCTGAGACAACTGATATATTACTTCCTTTGTTACCACTTTTGGCTTTACTATCAGTATTTATGCCATTCAAAAAACGATGTATGAAGTTAAAGATTTGCCCATTCCTCTGTAACCAGGTATTTGATTTCATATACTTTGAAATTAACTTTTTTTTTTAAGATTTTATTTATTTATTTGAGAGAGAGAAAATGAGAGACAGAGAGCACGAGAGGGAAGAGGGCAGAGGGGGAAGCAGACCCCCCGCTGAGCAGGGAGCCCGATGTGGGACTCGATCCCAGGACTCCGGGATCATGACCTGAGCCGAAGGCAGTCGCTTAACCAACTGAGCCACCCAGGCGCCCCTGAAATTAACTTTAAACATGAAAATGGAAATAAATACGGTGATGCATGCTACCATCTATTGAAACCTACCCATCAGTTTTTAGGCAGACCAAGCTTCAAAGCCCATTTGGTCCAAAGGTCTTTATTTAAAGGATTAGACAAGATACCTAAAAATCAAAAGAACTGCAATAAAATTAAATCATGCATGCATATAGAATTAAGTAGATAAAAAGGCCAATGGTTTTCTGGTTAAGTGAAAACTGGAAAAAAAAACAAAAAAATTCATTTGAAGTGGATTCAATTAAATGAAGTGACAATTTTCCCAATTTTAGACATAAATGTCTTTTAACAGCATAATCTTTTTTTTAAATGTATTTTTTAAGGTTTTATTTATTTGTCAGAGAGAGAGAGAGAGAGAGAGAGAGAGAGAGCATGCACAAGCAGGGGGAGCGTCAGGCAGAGGGAGAAGCAGGCTTCTCATTGAGCAAGGAGCCAGGGATCCTGGGATCACGACCTGAGCCAAAGGCAGATGCTTAACTGACTGAGCCACCCAGGTGTCCCCGGAGTAATCTTTTAAATAGTGCAGATGTCAACAGAGAAGAATAAGATCATTTAACTAAAAGAATGTTCTAGTTCATCAAGGTGGTTCAATATTGGGTTGGAAAAGTAGTTTCCTTACTTCCAAGGCAAGCCCTCTACAGATAAGTATTGTAGTGCACCAGTGAGCTGCGCTTAGAATTTTAAACCCCGCACAACCTAACTTTAGAATCTCAGGCTGTTGAGTTTTCTTTATGAGTTTCTCTGAGATTTTTTTGTTCTAACACCTACGAAGTGTGCATGGGACAGTTGTGCTTGGTCAGTGATGCTGGAACCCTCCTCAGCAGCACTCACCCCAGACCCTGGCTGACGCAGACATTCTTCTGTAGACAGACTACAGGGCACAGCAGGAACTGGACAGATGTCAGTTACAGATACCTACCCCCCCACCCCCTTCAGTCCTAAGCCACCACCAGACGTGTCCCCAGATTATTTCATATATCCTCCTTTGGGACTTCACTGCCTCCCAGTGAATGATAACAGACATAAAAGCAGACAGGTGGGAAGGAAGGACATCATTAGGTAAACTGATCATTAATAGATTAAGTTTCGGACACATCATGCCATGTCAGAATATTTTCAAGTCAAAATACTTTTAATCACGTGGAAATTATAAAGACAAATACGTACCCTCATTCTATCTACTTCCCCACACTGGGACTCTCTGGATGCAACATGGTCTAAGGAGAGAGCAGCACGGCGTAGGACGACGATGAGAAGCCTCAGCAAGGTGAGGTGCTGGGCACGTCAAAACCCCCTGGGACCCCAGTGCCCTCCCTCCCTGCCTCCCTCCCTGTCAGAGGAGGAGGGATACAGTTCCTACCTCTACCTGAGAGCAGGTACAAAACATACAGGTCAGAATGATAGTCTAGCGATTATTTCAACTACAGCCAGAAGCAGTTCCTACAGCTAAGTGTTTGTTGCCTGAGAATAACCGCGGATGTGTCAGAGAAATCCCACCGCTGCCAGTGATGATGAAGACAGCAAGGACAGCTCCAAGCAGGTGAGCCTGGCTGGGCTAGTGCTTTACCCGCATCTCCAGGAGAAATACTATCATCAGACTCTGGAGAGCCTCGTGATGAACCACAGCAGCAAGATCCCCTAAATCTCAAACACCAAAAACACGAAAAGGAAAGAACTTCTCAGCGCCGAGAGCTTGTCATCAGGTTAGTTACCTGGTTGACTGGCGAGATTAACGTACAGGGTTACTCTGCTTTGCTAGTCTGCTGATGTGATCAAAGCACTGCACATGGAGTTTCTAACTGGCTGCAACTAGTCCCTGATCTGCCTGGGCCCTACTGGCCTTTTCTGGATAACTGGAGGAAGAGCAGGAAAGGAAGAACCCTTCCCCTCAGGAATCTTCTACACAGTGACACACCAGCATTGGGCTTCATCTCCCCAACTACGGGCTCACAGGTTTAGGTAGGCTCTGACCTCCAAGTAATGACGGCAGCATGCCACAGCGTGCCAGATGTACAGCCCAGCGAGCGTCTCCCTTCCGGAGGAGACCAGCCAGACAGCTCCAGTGGAGGGTGCAGCCCCAAGGCAGCTCCCATCCCACCCTGCCTGCATTCACTGGGAAGGCGTGGGCCCTCACCCCAAGGCCAAGGACCAGGGTGCCCTCTCCAAACAATGAGCGGGAAGAAGTGGACACAGGAAAAGGCTTGTGGGGCTGGGATGGAGGCCAGGGCTGTTTGGTGGACAGGGGCAGGAAGCAGATGCTCAACAGCTGCAGTTAGTGCAGCCGCAGGGAGAGGAGCAGAGACCAGAGCAAATGGCACGGCCGGCCGGCTGGAGTGCGCAGAAGGGGACTGAGCACCTAAGAGCCTGAGCTGTACTGCGGCCCCCGCAGAGGGACGCCGGGCACCGACCACCGCAGCAGGAAGCAGAACGCTCACCTGCCGGGTTTCTGCTCCTGACACTGAAAACATGAGTCACGCCTACATTACACACCTGTACCCACACATCAACGCAATCTCAGGGCACAACACCGTAAACTGGCACAGGTGTGGATGGACAGCCTCGTCCACCTAAACGGAGAACACAGTCCCTTACGAGGCTGAAACGCGCTACTCCTGCGTTATCCTGAACTACCCGCGCTGAGGCTGCACCCCCTTCCTGAGCTACGCTGCACAACCGCGTTTCTTGAGCTTTACGAGCAGCCCAAGAAGCGCACCCCACCCCCAGCAGTTTACACCACGGCAACGAGCTGGAGCGCGCCTGGTCGTCCCGTCCGCGCAGCCGGGGGGCGGGGGGGCACCTACAGAAGGAGACCGAACGCCCTGATCTCCTAAGGACTGCACTTTGGGCGGCTGTTTAGTAAGTCAAATGCCGTGGTAGTGACTGCGGTCCGGCCTTAGGAAGACCCTCAGACGCGCAAAGTCCTCCCCGGGCTCAGTCCCTTGAGCTGCAGCCCCGGGGACCCTTTCCTGCCCAGTGCCGGCCCAGGACCCCTCCAGACCCCGCCCCCCGGACCCCACTCACCCGGGGGCCACCACCTGTCCTGGCTGCGCGCACAGCTCCCGCACCACGCCGGCGCGCTCCGACCTCAGCCTGCGCTCGGCGCGCACGCAGCCCCCGGAGCCAGCCCGGGCCGGGGCGGGACCGGCGGGCTGCGCGGAGGCGGCGGCCTCACACACGGCTAGCACGGAGCCGATACGCACGGCCGCGCCCGCCGCCACCCTCCACTCGAGCAGGCGCAGCGGCCCGGGGCCCGGGCAGCGCACCTCGGCCACGGCCACCGGCGGGGCGCCCTCGGCGGGAACGCGGCCCGCGGGCGGCGCCTCCATCGCGGCCGGGCGGGGTCGCTGTGGGAAGGCGGGCGGGCGGGGCGCTCAGGGCCCGGTGCCCATCGCGGGTGGGCGGGCGGGCGGGACGGCGACCCCGGCCCAGGCGGCGAAGGCGACGGCGCTGCAACTCGCGCTCCGGCACCGGCTTCCACCCGCCGCCCAGCCCGCGCCAACTTCCGGGACAGCGTCTGACGTCACGTGACGCCGCGTGCGTGCGTGCGCTGCGGGGCCCGCGTGTAAACACACGCCCACGCGGGGCCCAAGAGGCGCTGCGTCGGACGCGGTGCCCGGAGCGGCGTGGGAGCCGGCCCGACGGGAACAGCGTGGCCACGCCCCACGTACCCCGGGAGCGCCTGCGGCGTGGGGCTGCGGGTCCCGGCGTGCCGCGCGCGCCGCTGCCCTGAATCCCCGGCGTGCACTGCGAGGTCCCGGCATGCCGCGCGCCCCCCCCGTCCCACAACTCCCTTGGCGAGCCGGGGCCCAGGGTCGTTAAACTATGAGTCCCGGCATGCAACGCGGGCCTCGGGCTGCAGCCCAGTCACGTGCTGGGGCCGGGTGTGCAGAGACTGCGAGTCCCGGCATGCCGCGCGCTCCCCCGTCCCACAACTCGCTTGGCGAGCCGGGGCCCAGCGTCGTTAAACTATGAGTCCCGGCATGCAACGCGGGCCGCGGGCTGCAGCCCAGTCACGTGCTGGGGCCGGGTGTGCAGAGACTACGAGTCCCGGCATGCAACGCGGGCCTCGGGCTGCAGCCCAGTCACGTGCTGGGGCCGGGTCTGCAGAAACTGCGAGTCCCGGCATGCCGCGCGCCCCCCCCGTCCCACAACTCCCTTGGCGAGCCGGGGCCCAGGGTCGTTAAACTATGAGTCCCGGCATGCAACGCGGGCCGCGGGCTGCAGCCCAGTCACGTGCTGGGGCCGGGTGTGCAGAGACTGCGAGTCCCGGCACGCAACGCGCACGTCGGGGCGCTGTGGTCCCGGCGTGCCGCGCGCGGTCCGGGGTCACGGGGAGGAGGGCGCGCCACCCCTCGCCGCCTGGCTCGTGGGGTTCGGGGCGCCGGCTCCCGGTGGCGCCTGGCCCGTGCCCGCGCGTAGGGAGGCCCCGCGGACCTGCGGGAGGAGAGGAACGGCGGGTCGGTGATGACCTTGCTAGCGATTTGTTAAGCCCCGCGGGTCCGGCCGCGGGGCCCCCTGGTGCCTGGGGCGGGAGGGCCCCGGCGGAGGGGGGGGCAGGCAAGGCAGCGCCGGCCGCCCGGCCGCCCGGCCCCCCGGCCCCCCGGGCCCCCCGGCCCCCGTCGGCACGGGGTAGGCCGGCGGGGCGGAGGCGGCGTGCGGCGCCCCGCGGGCCCGGCAGGCCCCCGGGCCACGCTCGCGCCCGGAGCAGCGTCCTCCCGGCGCCCCGCGCGGGGCGCCCCGCGGGCTGGCTCCTGACCGTTCCCAGACCAAGTGGTCTCTGAGCGCGGGGGCAGGTCGGGAGCGCCGCCGCACCGAGCCGGCCTTACGCGGTGGGACAGCGGGGCAGCGACTGTAAGGCAGGTTGGGCTTCCGGACGCAGGGCGTCGCGCTACACGTTGACCTTGGGTGCCCGCGAGTCACGTGCGGGTCGCGGTGACGCCCGCAGGCGCGGCGGGCGAGTCCGTCCGTGAGCCCAGGCCGCGTCGAGGCAGCCCCGCGCGCCTGCGGCGTGCCGCGCCCCGGCCGCGCGGGGCCTCCGCTGTGTGCGGGGACGGACGCCCGGGCAGGGCCCTGCGGGGCCGCGGCCTCCCACCGCGGGCAGGCGTGGAGGCGCGGCGGATCTCCTCCCTGCGCTGGCTCTCCGCGTTCCCGCGGCCCCGGTCCTGCCAGCCTGTGCCGGTTGGGTGGCCTCTGGGCTCAGCCATGCCCTCGGCTGCTTTCCTGCTTAGGTCGCTGCTTGGCCTGAGCGGCTGCGCCTCGCTCTGCGGAATTCAGAAAAAGCCGCAGCGGACGGAGACTGGGGACCGTCGCGTTGTGTGGGCGTGGGGCCGCACTCCTCAGCCAGAAGGGAGAAGCCCGAGAATGAAAAGCACTAAGGCGTGTGTGCTGCGGGTAACGCAGGGCGTACAGGGGAGAGTGTGGCCGAAACACCCGTGTTGAAGAGAGAAACCTCTCTAATCTGGTCATTGACGCTAAGAAGTCAGAACAGAAGAGCAAACTAAACCTAAAGCAACAGACCAGAAATACTGGCTGGAGCAGGAATAAACAGAAAACAAAAACTGGACAAATCCTACAAAACCAGAAGTTGGTTCTTTGAAAAGATCAGCAAATGACAAACCTTGAGCTGGACTGACCGGGTGGAAAAGAGGGAAACCTCGCTGAACTCAGGGATGAAAGTGAGAAGAGCACTGCCGACTTTACAGAAATAAAAGTGTTTATGAGGGAATAATAGGGACAGCTGAATGCCAGAAGATTAGGTAATTTTTTAAGTGAAACGGATAAATCCCTGGGAAAACAAAAATACAGAAATTGAGGAAGAAATGGAACTACTCCCACTTTGTCCAGGTGTTGCTAAAGGCCTCATGGACTCCAGGCCTTCCAAAGAGGGTGTTCTCTCTCCTTGGTCCCCACCTCTGATCCTCCTAGTAGTCTCCAGAAGCTTCTTTTAAAGCCCCTAAGTACTCCGGCTTGGCCAGGTGTTGAAGGAAGCCACACTCCCTAGCAAGATAGGGAGCATGATAGCTGTTTTTCCTCTCCTTATCCAAGAAGCAGAGACACCTCCCTAAAATGAGTGTCATTTTTCTGGAATTAATACAGTATAGCCTGTGGTGAAAGTATTTTCTGCCAACATGACTTTGATCCTGATCCTTAGAAAAGAGCAACACATTTTCCATATTTTTGCCAAGAGGGGCTGCTGGCTCTTCCCAACCGTAGTCTATAGGAGAAGAAACACGCGTGGTATTCACTTAATTTTGCCTACCTTGCGGTGGTGCCATTTTCATAGATTTCTGATTCCCGAATCCTCTTCTGATGAAAGGAGGCGACCCTTGACCCCCTTACCATCCTCGGAACACCCCAGCTGTCAAGGAAACATGGTTTTTCAGGCTCTGGGCTATTGCAAGTTCTCTAGCCCCAAACTTAGCCAAAACAGTCCTAGAAGCCCCAAGAGGTCAATCTGTGATGTTCCAAAGAGCCTTCTGGACTCCTGCCAGGTACTGTCCCAAAGAGATCCTCAGGACTCACTTCTTGGTCCCCCTCGCTCCCTTCTGCGTAGGTCTGCCAGGCCTGATGCTTTCAGTGGACACACCGTGCCACTGTCGCAGTTGTTCCTAGCAGCGTGCCAGCATTGTGTATAGAAGAAACCTAGAGCTCCAACACCTCAGCCTTTCTTCTGTAGGCGCACAGTCGGAGGGGCTGATCGCCTAAATTAAACAACTGATTTGGGGCAGGGCCGTGTTGGAGCCTCAGGTATGGCTCAGTCCCTGTGTGGTTTCACGGTTCTTCCTGGGTGCTCTGGAGACCTTCTTGCTGGTGGGAGTTTGTCTAGTCTTAGTTACCTCCACTGTCCTGCAGGCCTGGCCGCACTCCTGACATGTGCATGCTTCCCGTGCACGAGGCAGATGTCCCATGGGGAGAGCCAGCCTTTTCAGCCCTCTTAGTTTGCAGAGCTCTCTGGTGTCTCTTAAAACATGGTGTTTGCAAATACCTGTTTTCCCCAAGTTCTTGGGGCAGGAGCAATGGCTGGTTTCTACCTACTTCACTCTTGCTGGAAGAAGACCTTGAATGGGATTTTAACAGAAGAGGAAACAGGCCTTCTAGACACAAGGACCATCATGGTTGGGGTTCTGGGGGATCCCTTGGTGGAGTCCTTTATGGCAAAAATGGGAACAGGGCTAGGATGTTTGAAAAGTTGCAGACACCACCAGTCACAATTCTGACTTAGCTGGTTTTGGAGGGGACCCAAGCATCAGGAGTTTTGCTCGCTGGGTTATTCTAATGTGTAGCTGGGTTTGTAGGCAGTGGTAGTTACTACATATTTTTGGGCAGATGTCTGAGCTCCTCTGATCTGTGTGTAAGGCACTGCTGATAGCTGAGGGCAGAGTGAACCTGGAGCTAGAGACCCCAGTTCCCGGTGATCCCAACAGATGGGAGTAGTTGTGGGGAGAGTTTCTGAGCTACTACCACCAGGTCTTGTCACTTGCTGGGCAGGATAGTGAGAAGGAGGGGTCCGAAGTGGCCCTGGAAGAAGACCGTGAACCAGGAAGGGGGGCGGGGCCACAGGGGGATGGGACACAGGGGGTTCCCTGGGAGTCTGTCAGGTCTGAGCTGCCTGGGCACAGGGGAGAGCCAGCCAGTGGGTGGCAGAGCAGGGCTGGTGTGGCAGTTTCCTGGAGAGACCAGAGCAGCGCAAGTGGCACCAAGTGTGGGAAGCATCTCTCGTGTGGGAAAGGCAGCCACGGTGGTGTGGGCAGAGAATGGAGGCACCGGCAAGGAGCAGGGCCCGTGGTGTTAAGGGCTGTGGTGAGACCAGGGCTGGTGTTGCCAGTAGGGAGGGAGCTGTGCCGGAGGGTCCAGGCGGCGACTGGGAACACAGGCAGGAGCAAGGCTTGCTGAGGAGCCGGGGGGTGTTTCTGCAAAGCAGATGGGAGGGGCAAACACAGATAAGCATCACAGATACTTGTTTACCCAGTGGTAACATTTAATAGCCGTTAGTTGGATCGTGCCCTCTGTTCTTCTCCCCTCTCCGCCCCCCGTTAAAAATTATGTAAATTAAGCAGATACCAAAATCTATGTGTAATCCTAAAATGAACCCATCAGCCAACCTGAAATCTACAGCATTACCAATACTGTGAGGACTACCTGTATGCTCCCCACCTTCCTGTCCTGCCCCCTTAATTCCCTCAGTTTTGCATTTGTCGTGCTCCCTTTATGTGGGGTTTTGCTGCATGCATATGTGTGGGGCCACAGCATACTGTGGAGTTATGCTTGCTTTTGAGGTTGGAAAAAATGCATCACATAAAAAAAATGCATCACATATATATGGGGGTTTTTGGGTCTGTGAATGACTTTTTCATTCATCATTATGTATCCAGAATTCATCCATATTACTTTGTGTGGTTATTGTTTATTGTGACTTCTATTTAATAGCTCATGTGGAGTGTGACAGGATGCATTTACCATTCTCTTGCAGATGGACATTTGGGTTGTTTTGGATTCTTATGAAAAGTGCTGGGTTTCCTGGTGCCCGTGAGCTGGAGCCTGAGGAAGGAGCTGCTGAATCCCAGGATGCAGATGTATGTGGCAACCCCAAACCACGTTCCTACGTGGCTGTCTCAGCTTGTACCCCCACCGCACCCTTGGCAGCCCTGCGCCACACTTTCTTTCTAGTCTGTCAGTCTGGGTGAAGATGTGTGTTAGAGTTGAAGCTGTGGTCTTAACTTGCATCTTTCCAGTAGCCATTCCGGCTGAGTCAAGTTCCCTATTGTTTTCTTGCCTTTCATGCTTTCTCTTCTCTGAAGTGCCTCTTCATGTTGATCACTCTTTTTTCCACTGGGTTGTCTTCTTATTGATTTGTAGTAGTTTCTTATGGCTTCTGAACACCTTTGTTGTTTATATGTTATCCCCATCATCTCTCAATTTTTGCCTTGTCCTTTTTTCATTTTCTTTATAAAATCTTTTGATGAACAGAAGTTCTTAATTTTAAGACTGCATTGCCTAACCTGGGATCATAAAGATAGCTTCTTTTTTACTTCTTTTCTTTTTTTTAAGATTTTATTTATTTATTTGAGAGAGACAGCGAGAGAGGGAACACAAGCAGGGGGGGTGGGAGAGGGAGAAGCAGGCTTCCCGCCGAGCAGGGAGCCCGATGCAGGGCTAGATCCCAGGACTCTGGGATCATGACCTGAGCCGAAGGCAGACGCTTAACGACTGAGCCACCCAGCCACCCTGCTTCTTTTTTACTTCTAAAAATCTATAAAACTTTGCCTTTCACAGCGAAGTCCTTAAGTAATAAGAAATGGGTGTTTCATATGTGGTGTCAGGCAGTGATCAGACTTCTTTCCCGTCGGGGTGGGCAGTTGTCCCAGCCCCAGTTTGGAAAAGCTTATCCTGTTTGCATTGATCTGCGACGCGTCTCTGGTATGCAGTAAGTCCCTGGAAATGCACGAGCCTATTTCGGACTTTCTGTTCTGCTTTATTCTTGAACTGTCTCAATTGCTATAGCTTCACAGTAAGTCCTGACCTCTGGGAAGTTTCTTCACACGTTTTGTGTATATTCTTGGCCTTTGTTTTTTCATAAATTTTAGAATTAGTGTGTCAGTTTTATTGATAAAACTTGTTAGAGTTTTGATCAGAACTGTGTACGGAGTCTATAAATCAATTTGGGGAGAAGTGACATCTTTGTGACTTGAATTGTGCCATCCATAAACACAGTATATCAGTCTGTTTATTTAGGCTCTCTTTAAGGTCTTCAAATAAGATTTTTATGATATTCTCCATGTAGGACTTGCACATTTTTTGTTAGATCTATTCCTAGTTTATTTTTTTTTGCTCATACTCTTGTTGATACATGATACTTAAAAAAACCCCACAAAATCCAACCTTTTCTAGTTGACTGTTGCTGGCATATAAAAATGCAATAGGTTTTTGTGAACTGATGTTAGACCTATTAATCTTTCAAAGTTCTTTTATATTTAATTCATTAATTTTGGCTTATCTTCTTTTTAAGGAAAACTTCAATGACATACATGTCCTACTGAGCATCACTTTTGCCTTCTTTCACGTGTTTTGGTATATAATCTTCTTCTTGTCAGCCACGCAGTTATTCTTTTGTATTCACTGTGGTCTTTTTATTTGGCGAATAAGTTATTTAGAAGTATATTTAAAAATGTCCACATGCATGGGAATTTTTCTCCATATTTTTATGGTTGACTTCTAAATTAATTGCGTTACAGTCAGGTAACATAATCCGAATGATACTACTTTTTTGAAAGTTCACGCAATTGGGATAATTCCAGGGTCGGGTTAGTCTGTGCTTCCAAAGAATGTGTGTCTTTTCCTCACTCGAGTCAGGATTCTGTCTACCCAGCAAATCAGCCCTCTTGAACGGGTCACTCGGATCTTCTAGGTTTACATACCTTTCTGTTTGACCAAAAGCAATGGTTGAGAGGGCGAAGTTGAAATCTCTTCTGTGGTTACGAATTTGCCTCTCTCTCCCTGTAGCTTTATTAACTGTGTGTGTGTGTTTGTGTATGTATGTGTGTGTGCGCCTATGTAATAATGTGTGTGCATGTGTTTGTGTGTATGGGGGAGAGGCTGTTATTAAAGGAATACACATTTAGAATTTTTATATCCTTGACAAATTGAACCTTCTTCGTTGTGTGGAGCCCTCTGTACCCTGAACAATGCTTGTCTCTTAAAATGTATTTTCTTTGAAGTAATATGACTATCATAACTTTTTTTTTAAGATTTTGTTTATTTATTTGTCAGAGAGAGAGAGAGAACGCAAGTAGGGGCAGCGGGAGAGGAAGAAGCAGGCTCCCCACTGTGCAGAGAGCCCGATGCGGGACTCGATCCCAGAACCCTGGGATCATGACCTGAGCCAAAGGCAGACGCTTAACAGACTGAGCCACCCAGGCGTCCCTATCATAACTCTGTTTTAATAAATGTTTGCCTGGTATAGTCTTCATTTTTACTTTTAGTGTTTGTGTACCTTAAGTTTAGATATTTATGCTATAAACAACATGTAGCTAGACTTTGATGATTTATTCTCACACTATCTTTCAGCTGCTGAGTCCAATACATTTATATTTAATCTCATGTTTCTATGGGTATATTTTCTCCTTTCTCATCTCTTTTCACCCATTGGTGATATATAGACATCTGCTTTTCTATTTATTTTTTTACTCTATTTTTATTATTTTGGTTATCACCATTGAAATTTTACTTTGTATTGTATTCCTAACTTAATAAATGTAAAGTTAATATTCCAATTTCTTTGCAAACAATACATAGATCTTAAAATACTACATATACCTCTGCTCTTCTCTAGACTCACATACTGAAATTGTGCAGTATTTTAGTTCTGCATTTTTATATCCCCAAATTAGGTACTCTTGTTATTTTACAATGTTTGTTTTTATTTAATGTATATTTACCAGTTTATCTGGTCAGCATTTTTCTTATATTTCATATCTTTCTTTTTTTTAAAGTAACAAATAATTTGTTAGGGAAGAGAAACATTCCAATGAAAAGACACTGTTGTGTTAAAATAGGGGATATCTAAGATATTCGTGTAACGTACCATCTACACGTGACGTGTGCTTACACTGCGTTGTGTGTGAGTAGATCTCAGCCGGCTTACGGGATTGTGCTCGCCTTCTTGGAAGTTCTGCTGGAAGTAAACCCTCAGCTTCTGTTTATCGGAGAGGGCTTTATTTTGCTCTTATTGTGGAAAACTAGTTTTGGTGGACATACAGCTAGAGGATGACAGTGATCTTTTTCATTAGAAGACGTTTCCCATTGGGTTCTGGTTTCTGTGTTTTGTTGTTGAAAGTCTGTTAGTCTGACTGTGGTGGTTTTGTAGGTGATCATCTTCTCTTTGTCTTTGGTGTTCTGTAATTTCATTGCCGTGTGTCTAGGGGTGATTTCTTTTCCTTTATTCTGTTTAGGATGTATTGTAGATTCATGAATTTCATTTGTTCTTGAAATTCTCAAGCATTATCTCTAAAAACTTCTTCCGTGCTAGTGTGTGTGGAACTCTGAATAGATAGATGTTTGTTAAACCTTCTCGTGCTATAATTCCTCTCTCAATCTTTATTACATTTTCCCTCTTCTCGTTTCTCAGCACCCTGGGGAATTTCTTCAGATGCGCCTCCAGTTTATTAACCTCTCTTCATCTGTGTGTAATCTGCTGTCTAACTCATCTTTTGAGATTTCAAAAATCATAGTTTTCACTTAGGAGAGTTCTATTTGGATGTTTTTCAAATATGCCTGTTCATTTATAGTCTGTTTTTACTTGCTCATTTATTTCGGTAATTCTATCTTTTCTCTTTAATAGTTCACACCTAATTTTTAAGATTCTGAATCTGACCATATAAATACTTGATGTCATTGTGGGTTTACATCTGTTTTGTTTGTTTGTTGTTCATATAAGTGGTTTCCTCTCAATGGTTGGTGCTGTTTGTGAGCTCATATTCGGTGGGTGGTAATCTGTGGAATGTGGTGACCTTGTTCTGGCAAGAGCCAGAGGACCCAGGTGGGGCACTTCCGAATCCTTGCAGGCAGGGTCTGGAGCTGCTTTGTCCCCCCTCTACAACCCCAGGTCATCCTGATTCTGGCAGGGTCCCTGAGGGTGCCCCACTTTGTGTATTTTCCCACCCACGTTCCCTCCCCTGGACCCTGCTCATGAGGGTTTCCCTGGTTTGGGAGTGTTCAGGGCGCTCCTTGCTTCTTGTAAACCCAGTCCTGGCATGAAAATCAAGTCTTAGACTCTAACTGTTCTGTAGTGAGGAGGACCCTTCAGAGTGTCCTGACTGCCCTCCTGCCTAAAGTAGAAATCTTCTCTTCGATTTTTCTTTGTTTTTAACTGGGTCAGAGAGACTGAAGGGGAACGCCCCCCTGCCCCGTTTTTTGGCCTGTTTTCCCGGATCCAGCACTGACTATGGAGGTGTTGTAGGCTCACAGCCCCTTCTCTTTGAGTGAGGGGCAGAGGGAAAGGTGGAGACGGGGAAAGGCGCTGTGACTGGAAGGACAGATGCTATCTGGGAGGACAGGGCTCCACGAGATAAGGGGTCTGCAGTCAGACGCTCCTGCATGATGGATTAACGTTAGAACACAAGGCACACGCCAGTCAGACGTGCTGCATGAGCGTGCAAGCGCTGGGACCATCGTGGCCCCGACAGCTGGGGACCGAGCCCCCCACGCCCGTGGGCTTGGCTGCGCTGTCTAAAACGGCTCTTGGAGAAGAGACGAATCATGAGAACAAAAGCGTTTTCTTTTTTAAGGGAGCTGGTAGTACGCATTGTGTGAACTGTGCACGGGGACAGACAACCAGGAGAAGGGACGTGGCTGTGGCGGTCTCTGGGAGAAGGCAGAGGCTGGGACGAGGCACCCTCTGTGTGTGTTGCTGCTGAGAGCAGGGGGCGTGCTGCGGGCCCGGTCGGGTAGAGGCTAGAGGACGCTGCTTCCCAGCCACCTGTCACAGAGAGGGTCGACGGCAAAACCCACGCTCCTGGCCTGGGGATGTCTTGTAGGGTGCACTTTAGAGCACCAGGGACTTTTCCAGGAGCATTTCCTAGCACTTGGAAGCAACCAGGTAATCATGCGATAGGAAACAGGCTGTGGTTTTTCCGGCTCTTTATTGTTCTACCTCCCAGTGGAGGGAGATGCCGTCAAGTCTGGGGTTCGTTCTGCAGGAATATCTAGTGGATTGTGATTTTAGTGACAGCCCACAGGGTTCAAGGGTCAGTTTGTCTCAGATTCCCACTAGGGATGTTCATTACAACAGGTAGACGTGGCACTGAGATCTGGGATTATTGAGCCTTCTGCCGTGGCTTGGGTTTGTTTAACTTTTTAAATTATTATCTCAAGTCAGGTGTGGAGAACACATATTTTGGAGTGAATCTGATTCTCCGAGCCCCAAGTTTTCATTTGAAACCCTGCTTTATCGGTTCAGAACTGGGTAGTAAGCCTTTCTCCTAGCCCGAGAGCCTGCAGGCCGCAGTCAGCTTTCCTGCACCCTGCTGGTTCCCCCAAACATCCAACATCCCCACTGCCGTGTTAGAGGAAATAATCTTTCTGTATAAATTCCATGTGTAACTTATGTACAAATTACCTTCTAATTTGCTTCTCCCCTCATGACTGCCAAGTTTCCATCTCAGCCACTGGAGAGAGTTTATGAAACCCAGGTCCCCAGATGACCACCTTTGTGTGAGTCAAAACAAAGAATGAGGTGGAGTCGTTGCCTTTGGTTGGTTCCCTGTTTTGAATCCAGCACACGACAGACAGGAGAATGTACTACGGGGTCGAGAGAGTCCTTCCTTAATAGAAAGACATCTCTCTCCAGTGACTCTTTAGAACGTTATTTTGTGTTCCCTTTTACCATGCAGACTCTGAACGTCCTGCAATTTCAAGTTCTACCCCACTGATCTTTGTGTCTGTCCTTAGGCTGACACCAGCTGATCATGGTGTTGGCAGCTGCAGCTCGAAAGCCGAGTGTGTAAATTCTCTAACTTTGTTCTTTTTCAAGATTGTTTTGGCTATTCCAGGTCCTTTTCTTGTCCATAAAAATAATAGGCTCCCTTTGTCGATTTCTACAAAAACATGCCGGGATTTTGGGAGTGATTGCAGGGAGCTGAAGTATAAACGATATTGAATCTTTCCATCTATGAACACGGAATGTCTCTTGATTAAATCTTCTATAATTTCTCTCAGAGATGCTTTGTAGTTCTATGTGAACAAATCTTGCACTTCTTTTGTTACACTTAATGCTAAATAGTTTATTATTTTTGATGCTATTGTAAATGGAATTGTTTTCTTAATTTTCAGGTTGTTGATAGCATGTGAAAATAGGATTGATTTTTTTGCATAATGATCTTGTGTCCTGCAATCTTGATAAGATAATCTTGCTTATTCTGGTAGTTCCTTTTTTGTTTGTGTGTGTTGCTTTTTGTAGAATTCTTAGAATTCTCTATGTACAGGATCAGGTCATCTGTAAATATTTTATTTCTCCTTTTTAGTATTTATGGCTAATTGCTTCTCCTTTCTCTCATCCCCTTTTTTCTTTGAGGGGAGATGGTTATCACACTGACTAGCAGCTCCCGTGTGATGCTGAGTGGAGTGGTGCGAACTGATACTGTTGCTTTGTTCACAGTTTGAGGAGGGAAAGAACTCAAGTCTTTCATCAAACACTGCTATGATGAGGGGTGCCTGGGTGGCTCGGTCCGTTAAGTGTCTGACTCTTGGTTTTAGCTCAGCTTGTGATCTCGGGGTCAGTACAGACTCTGCTTGAGGTTCTCTCTCTCCCTCTCCTGCCAGCCCTCCTGCTCGTGTGCACACGCTTGTTCTCTCTCTCAAATAAATAAACAAATCCTTTAAAAAAAAAAACCTGTTAAGATTACAGCTGTAGGTTTTTGGTTTTTTTTAAACATGTCCTTTATCAGGTTTGAGGACATTCTTTTCCTTAGTTGAGATTATTTTGTTTTTGTTTTTTTAAAGATTTTTTTATTTATTCATTCCAGACACAGAGATACAGAGAGAGAGAGAGAACATGAGTAGGGGGAGAAGCAGGCCCCCCGCCGAGCAGGGAGCCCGATGCGGGGCTCGATCCCAGGACCCTGGGATCATGACCTGAGCCGAAGGCAGACGCTTTACCATCTGAGCCACCCAGGTGCCCCGAGATTGTTTTTTAAAAAAATTTTTTTAAATTTTTTTTTAAAGATTTAATTTATTTATTTGACAGAGAGACCCAGCGAGAGAGGGAACACAAGCAGGGGGAGTGGGAGAGGGAGAAGCAGGCTTCCCGCCGAGCAGGGAGCCCGATGCAGGCTCGATCCCAGGACCCTGGGATCATGACCTGAGCTGAAGATAGACACTTAACCAACTGAGCCACCCAGGCACCCCTAAAAATTTTTGAATACACATTAGATTTTGTCATTAATATTTTCCCACAGCTATTGATTGATCTATTTTCAGGTGTTTGTCCAGTCTGCACTCCTGGGATAAATTCTGATTGGTTATGGTTTATCATCTTTTTAAAGATTTTTTTAAGGATTTATTTATTTATTTACTTATTTATTTTAGAGAGAGAGTGTGAGAGAGAGAGAGAGTGAAGGGGCAGAAGGAGAGGGAGAAGGAGAGAAGCAGACTCCCCACTAAGCAGGGAGCCCGATGAGGGGCTCAATCCCATGACCCTCAGATCATGACCTGAGCCGAAATCAAGAGTTGGGCGCTTAACCGACTGAGCTACCCAGGCATCCCTATAATCCTTTCAAGTGCTTGTAGATTCAGTTTGCTAATGTTTTGTTAAGGCTTTGTGTCAGTGTTCCTGAGACGCTGGTGTGAAGTCCTCCTGTGACGTTTGGTCTGGCTTTGGTGTCAGGTGGCTCCTGCAGGACTCTTCCGAGGCCCCAGTTTTTCCAGAAGGACTTGGATCCTCCACAGAGGCAGAGTCGGTGGGTGTCATCTTGCTCGTTTGTCTTTCTCGGGACTTAGCATTTCCTCATCACTGGCACAGTGTTGTCCGTGACTCTCCTGTGGAGCCCCTCCTTTCCTGTGGTTGGCAGGGACGCCCCCGCTTCCCTCCCTGGGTCTGCTAGTTGGGCCCCCTCTCTCTTGCTTGGTGGGTCTAGCTAAGCATGTGTGATGGTTCACTCCTGGTGGTTCGGGCGGAGGGCTGACGACACGCAGGCGGACTTGCGGGTGTGAGGTGTGTTTAGGGACAACCACATGAAAGGGGGGGACCCAGGACCTGGTGAAGGGCGAGGTTGATTGCAGCCTAGCTTCACCAGCCTGGCCCCTTCGTGGCGCTCTGCAGGATATGTGGCTGTCAGAGCTGGCCCCAGATGCTGCTTGGGTTTTCCCTCCTGCCCTCCTTAGACCTCGGATGTGGGTCTTGGCAGTTCAGGCAGTGAGACTGGAGGGGCTCGTGCTGCTCTGCTTACATCCCAGGGGCAGATGGGGGCCTGGCGCTTCTGTCCAGCCCGTGTGGGCACTTTCTCTCTGATGCTTGTAGACGAGGAAGACGAGCAGGGCCGTGAAGACAAGCTGCGGTGGCGGCAGATTCTCTGGAGACCGCAGGGCCCTATTTCCAGTGCATTGCGGTGGGAGCACCCACCCTCCTTGCAGGACAAAGGGAGACTACTCTTGGTGCTCTCCCTCCCAGAAGACGTGCCATGCACACCTGTAACTGTGTAGGGCTGAGGCTGCATCTCAGCTGGAAAATTAACACTTGAATCCTAAATAATAATAATTACTGTTTCTGGTTATTTTGAATCCACTGACAAAGACCTTTACAAAATAATTGCACTGATCAATCCCCTATGAGTTACAGGGGAAGATTGTTGAGTTGGTGTGTGATGAGAACATTAGTGGGAATTCTGTTTAGTGCGTGTAATTGTAAGGAATATGTCATGTTAAAATGCCTGACGTAGCGTCTTGTAATAACACATGGTTTCCATCAAGCGGCAGATGTTTCTTAACCTCCCCTTAGAATAAAAATCATAATTTAGCCACACCCACCAGCTCCACTGTGGAGCAAGAGCGAAGGCCTCGCTGCACAGCTCAGATCTGTGTAATTGCGGCTTGAAAGCATGTTGTGGGGAGAAATGGCCTTAAAAAGAAACGACTTTTTAGAATGTCAGATAAAAGGATCCTGGGAAACTGTGTTTAATAGGAACCGTAGATGTGGTTTACAAACACACAAACAACACATCTACTTCTGTTTTTAAGACTGCTGGTCCCTGGAATGTGAACGGGGTGTCCCCAGGACAAAGCACAGATGAAGATGATTTACTCTCACCGGAGATAAGAACGGTTCTCTTTCTGTCCTACCGAATACGCTCACAGCAGTTCTTCTCGATGGAGCTTCTTCCATGTGATTCGCGTGGTTGCAGGGCGCAGTGCGGTGGGCTTTGTCTGGTTCCCACAGGTGCCAGAACTTTTCATCCCGAGGAAGGAGCCCAGGGCTGGTCACCGCGCCCGCTTCCCGGCAGACTCCCCACCAGGGGAGGGACAGCCACCACAGGGGGGCGTTCCCCCAGCGGGCTCCCCTAAGTAAATAATAATAACCTAAGTACATTTATTGAGTAATGGCATAAACGCCATGTGGGGTGCTCAAGCATCTGAGGTGTGGGAGCAGTGCTGGACTGCAGGAGGCTTCAGTGAAAGTCCCTTAACCATGGTGAGAATGGGAAATGCCATTTTCTCTCATCTGCTTTGGGAGTCTTCCTCCTGCTGATCAGCAGGGAATAATTCCAGTGCTTTCACTCTTCTCCCAGGCCTCTGAAGCAAGAGGCCTTTGATTTATATTACGCTGTCAGATAGCTGTGCAGCGGGAGAAGGCCCCTCGGTAATTTGGAACTTCCTCATGCTGCTAATGCAATCAGGAAGCTGGCCCTTTATAGAATTAGAGGGTGTGTGCGTGCTTGGAGTTACTAGCCTGCCACCCTGCGTGCAGTGGGAACAGAGAGGGCGGGAGGGATGGGGAGGCTCTTTGGGGGCAGATAGCGATTAGTGGGACTTAGCCAACAATTTTGAAACCTGGAAATCAGGTTTTTGGAAATAAATTTTAGTAGGTGAGTTCTCCAAACAGTGTTCTCCAAACTTTTTTCCGGTCCTGTCCTCTCTTCCTGGTGGCGAGCTCTCGCCTCCCACTGCCTGTCCTTAAGGGGTCCTCAGCTCAGTATCTGATTCCATTTTAGTGCCAGTCCTGTGAACTAAGAGGTCTTATTATACCCATTTTCTAGGTGAGGAAACTGACATTCAGAGCAGGTGTTTAGAGCGGTGGCACTTGGATTCTGGTCTTCTAACTCCAGAATTCTCTTGATACATTGTACTTTCTCAAAATTGTCTGCATCCAGAGACTCAGGGCACCTGCTTGTATGATACATACCCTAACCTTCTGCTCTGGTAACTCCCAGCTTTTTCATGGGGAAGAGGGTTGGAATAAAGAAACCCGAGACATCATAGATTTCCCCATATCATGAAGTGTTGCAGTTTTGGGAAATTCATGTACCAAGTAATTGGCTTTGGGAAGGAGGACAGATTGTGGTGTTGTAGAATCCTATTGCATAAGAGGGGTCTTATTCCTCCTACTGTTCAGCAACTGCTTAAAATGCTGGAGGGGAATATAAAATGCATTAAGAAATATTTGTTGAGGAAGTCGATAAATGGGTAAAGCAGATAATAAACATAGTATCTGGCCTTAAAGAACAAACAAGATCATAAGAGGAGGCATTACAAACACCAAAGTTTCGCGCAGAAGCTGGTGTTGCACTTCCTAATTATTTGCAGTTGCTGTGAGCAGCTTTGAAGACCCTCTGGATGCAGGTTTCTCTGGTTTGCAGTCTCTTCTGTCACCACACGGGGGCACAATTGGACCTTTGAAAATTATGTGCGCAAGATGAAATTTCTCGGTATTTATAGCATCCTCCAAATAAAAATGGCAAAACTTAGTGTACTAAACAGGGAAAGGGAGGGATCAGGCTTTAACGAGAGAGGTGTACTGTCACTGCGCCCAGAGGGGAAGAGGTTTAGGAAGGGCCGGATTACACCTGAGAGGTCTGTTGGCCTGTGCGCCCAGGTGAGGGAGGAGCCTGATCACCTGTGCGCCCAGGTGAGGGGGCAGCCGGGTCCACCTGCATGGACCATCTGTGGGCTGACTCCTGGCTGCTGTCTTGGGCCATGCCCACCACCCAGTGTGATTATTGCCAGTGCCCCTGGTACCTCAAAATGCCCCGGTTTAGAGAGGACTCGTGAGCATCCTGGTTCTAAGGGATGGACGTGAGGGGTGGGAGGCCTGTGGGCGAAAACGCTGGGGGTCTGGTACCCACACATCGACCAGGAGTGGACAGAGGTGGGGGGCTGGGGTGCTGCAGAGCTGGGGGCACAGGAAAAATGAAGGAGACGCCCCGGGACGGAAGGCTCCCTGCGCTCAGCCCTCACAGTCTACCGTTTGTAAATCTCCATGGGAACTTGGAGGTTATAAGCAATTACCGCCGATGAGAAACTGGAACTCAGAGCCACGCAGCATCAGGGAGACTCTAGAACATGGGTGGGTCATGGGGAAGGATTCCTGTGGGAAGTGCCCTCAGCCGACTGTCCCCAGGCTGGGGCCCCCCTGAGGACACCGAGACCAGGATGCAGGCCTGGGTCTGGGGAGGTGGCAGGACTTCCAAAGCGTCCCTCCCCTTTGTCCTCCTCCCCTTCCTTCCTCCCCTCCCTCCCCTCCCTTCCTCCCCATCCCTCCACCTCCTTCCTCCTCCTTCCCCTCCTTTCTCCCCTCCCTTCCTTCCTTCCTCCTCCCTCCCTCCCTCTCCCCCCTCCTCCTCCCCCTCCTTCTCTTCCCCCTCCTTCATTTCCATTCCTCTCCCTCCCCCTCCCTCCTCCTCTTCCCCCTCCCTTTCTTCCTCCTCCCTTCCCCTCGTCTTCCTCTCCTTTCCCTCCCCCCTCACCTCTCCCCCTTCCCTCCCTCATCCTTCCCCTCCTCTTCCCTCCCTCCCTCTCCCTCCTCCTTCCTCCCCTCCCTCCTTCCCCTTCCCTTCTTTCCCTCCTCCCCATCCCTCCTCCTCCCTCTGTTAATATATCTCAATAAGTTAAATTTTATAAGTTTGTATAAAAAGTGGCTTAGAGAAATATGAAAGCATATATTAAAATGCAGTGAAGACTGAGTATATCCCCCCAAAAATTGAAAGCAGAGTCTCAAAAACATACATGTGCACCCATGTTCGTAACAGTGTTATTCACGAAGATGGACACGACCCAGTGTCGATGAATGGATATTTGGATAGGCAAACTGTGGTCCGTCCACATAACGGAATGTTATTCAGCCTTAAAAAGGAGGGATATTCTGGCACCTGCTGCCGCACAGTTGAGCCTGGAGGACACTGCGCCGAGTGACGTGAGCCAGCGCGGTGGGACTCCTCTTGTATGAGGTCCTGGTGCCACCAGATCATGGAGATAGGGCAGGTGGTGGGTGCGGGGGCTGGGGGAGCAAGGGGGTTGGTGTTCAGTGGGTTAGGGTTAGGACAGAGGCTCAGTCTTACCGGGGAGCAGAGGATGGGGACGGGTGTACTGTGTGGTGAATGTGCTGATCTGTTTGTGTCACTGAGCTCTACACTTAAAAATCGTTGTGATGCTAGATTTTATGTTCTTGTGTACTTTACTACAAGTTACAAAGTGCCTTGTTTGGGAGTCCCGGGTGTTTAAAGTGAGGGGAGCCCAGGCTGTGGGATTCACAGGATCGTGTGGGACTCTTCTGAGGCCCCCGTTTCTCCAGAAGGACTGTGATACTCCACAGTCAAGACACACAATATGTGGGTTTTGTTTTGGTTCCTTTTTTTAAATAGAAAGGAGGAATTCCAGAATCACAGTGAGTGAGGCTGACGGCAGCCTGTTTGAAGAATCACCAAGCTGAGCTCGTGCGTTGGGAGCAGCAGAGATGCAGCCCCTTGTGGAGCGGTGCGGCAGGGTGGTCCTGGGTGTGGGGACACTCACAGGGTCCCCTGATTAACATCTGCACGTTCTGCACACGCCCACGGACATGGTTCGTGGGGGCTGCTCACGCTGTGGCCCTGTCCTATCTTTCTTTACTCCACGTGGTGAGGCCGACACATTCCATCCATCTCACGAAAGGAATTTATGGATGTCCCTCTGTTTTTCAAGTCCAATAAAACCTGCCCTAGTGGTTCAACGCCCTTTCCCTCCCACCCAGACTCCACGTGGAAAAGTCTCCGGGCCAGCAGGAGCTGCCACGTGGGGACCTGTCCTCTGGGCTGACTCAGGCTCCTACGGGGCAAAGGGCATCCGACGGCGTCCAGGCAGCGCGCCTGCCCTAGGGGACGCGGCAGGGAGGGGGCCTCAAACCTTTCTACTTCGTGGGACGATCTGGTGGCCACATTGCAGGGTTGAGGCTGGGAACGCCAGGTTGGAACGGCCTGGAGACGCACGCAGAGCAGGGTGAGCGGCCCTCTGTTCAAGACAAACGCTCTTTTCTTGCAACAGACTTGTCAAGAAATGTTACTACCCACGTATTTACACTCAAACGTTTAAGCTTATACACAATTTTAGGTTGGAGTTCCTTATTTACAGAGTTCAAATGTTGGCGACCTTTGCCTTGGTGCAGACGCTGGTCAACGAGAGCAGAGCCCAGATGAACTTTCTCACTTTGAAACAGTCAGTGTGGGGACAACCCCGGTGGAGACACACGTCCAGCCCACGTCCGCTCTGCACGCTCGCTGGTGACTGGCCCCGAGAGGAGTCGGGCCGCCGGCCAGCAACGGGAGCCCCGTGGAAACCTCGCGAGGAAAGCCTGGCCCCTGCTACATTTCAGAGCCTTGGGAGGCTGGCCGGCTCTTCACTCAGACGCCTCTCCAGGCCCTGGGCTGTGTCGTCCCTGCAGCTCTGATGGGGGGTGGGAGCCTGGGGTCCGCTGCTGCCTGGGCCCCCGCCCCTCGCTGGCATCCTCGTGTGAGGATTTTGTCTGGAAGAGTCTAGTCGCAGCGACTAGAGCTGACGTTGCTCCTGCTGGAGGATGCGTGCCACCCAGGCCCACTCGCCACAGGGCCAGGGGGCTGTTCCCTGGACCCCACGGGCTCACAGTGGGGACAGAAGGTTTCAGAAGCCGTGGCCTGCGTCCCACAGCTCCTCCCACCTGGTGGTCTTCAGGACCCCTCCCCTGGCCTTTCCAGACAATAATTCTCACGTGTGGACGCCCCAGGCTCCGGTTCCCCTCCTTGGCCCACAGGGGGGCCGTCCGCAGTGCTGCTCTGACCACGTTCCTGGGGCCCAGGGAGTGGACTGCTGCCATTTCCCAGAAAATTCCACCAGCAACGCTTTCTCCTGTTTGAAAACACAAGTCTGAGTCTGTCCCTTCAGCAGCGGGTCAAGTGGCATCCGGGGCAGCAGGAGGAAAGTGCCCCATGAGCCGGCAGGAAACCAGGCCTGGGCATGACCCCCGCTGGGCCGTGACCCCCTCTCTGCCGCGACCCCTGCTGGGCCGTGACCCCCGCTCCGCCGCGACCCCAGCTCCAGTGTGACCCCTGCTCGGCCACGACCCCCGCTCTGCCGTGACCCCTGCTCCAGTGTGACCCCCGCTCTGCCACGACCCCCGCTCTGCCACGACCCCCGCTCAGCCGTGACCCCTGCTGGGCCATGACCCCCGCTCCGCTGCGACCCCTGCTCCAGTGTGACCCCCACTCGGCCATGACCCCTGCTGTGCCGTGACCCCTGCTCAATCGCGACCCCCGCTCCAGTGTGACCCCCGCTCCAATTTGACCCCTGCTTGGCCGCGACCCCTGCTCTGCCATGACCCCCGCTCCACAGTGACCCCCGCTCCCCAGGCTGAGCTCTCCTGGGTTTTACACCTTTCGCTCTGGTTTCCTCGGGAGTGACGTCTGTGTTGACACCTGTCTGTCCCCTGGGTCCACCTACTGGACCCGCCGCAGTGGGTGATGGCCGACTCCCCGTTTTCCCATCCTCCGAGCCTAAACCTGATAATGCCTGGCGTGCTGCTGGAGCTCAGGGCCCTGCTCCAGAGAGCCCGCAGTGACAGTCTGTGTGTCACGGTGCTCTGGCTGGGGGCAGACAGACGCGCGGACGCTGACAGGTCCACCAGCATCGCCTGAGACCCTTTTGCACTTCATAGACGCTGACCTGCAGCACCCGCGTCGCTGGCCCTCACGTGGAAGTCTGTGCCTCGGTGGGCCTGGTTTCACGTCCGTGACACGGCTGCCCCCGCGGAGGCCACGGCCGGGAGCAGGCCCGCCACCCAGGGCAGGTTGCAGTCAAACCCTCCACAAAACCGCCACGTTTACGTCTGTCCCACGTCTGCATCTGACTTACATTGTGCGATCTTTTTAGTGGCAGAATTCTCATTTAATTTATTTCACTTGAACTTCTGCTTTTTTGTTTCAGATAGTTATATTTTTGATATTTCCTAGAACTTTATAACAATTCTTTAGACTTCGTGCTGTTTTAAAAAAAATTAAAAATAAAAGTATAAACTAACATTGAGTGTAATTTACCATCAAAGTAGAATATTGCTACCAACGTCCCCCCGCCCCCTGCAACGCACTCTCAGACTTTAGAAATAGGAAAATCCACTGTGATTCGGAGGAATGATGGGCACACAGGACTCTGGGTGCCTCGGCGGTTGTGAAAGGGGGAGCGTTCACAGAGGCCACTGAGCACTCGCCCCGTGGCCTGCTGTGCCAGAGAGGGCTCACAGACCCGCGTCCCTACCTGCCTCTCCGGGGCCTCCCCCACGTGGTGGCCTTGGAGGTGAGGCCTAGCTCTGGGGTGGACCTGCCAGGGTTGAGGCTCGGCTGTCCACAGGGCCACCACTTTCTATTTTGCTTTTGAGGTTTACGACTCCTCTGCACCCAAACAGGATGAAAGCTTATAAACCAAGATACACATGAGAAAGGACAGATCAGATTAGAAGTAACTTGAACACCAACAGGAATTGGTGAGAGGCAGCAAAGCCTGGGGCATCCTGACCTCAGCGCTGCGCTCCCTGGCCCCTGCCCGGACACGAAGAGGAACCTTATAATTTGGCCCCTCGGGTTGAGAAGGAGGGACCTCCTGTCTGCGTTTTGAGAGGATACAGCTGCTCACAATGGAAGATTTTGCCAACCCCTCTCCACTGCCAGTTGTCTCTTGTCCTCTTCTTATTCGCAGCCCCCAGCCCTAAGTCACTGTTTGAATCTGGATGGGAACGTACCCTGTGCTTTGTGGAGTGTGGTATGGCAGGGCATGCACCCGCAGCCAGCGTTCTGTGCCCTCGTTCAGGAAGACTTGTGAGGAGTGGTGTTTGCCGCCTGCCGGCGGGATTGAGTGGCTAGAAGGTGCTCACGCGGATCCAGAGGGTGAGCATGGGGGTATTGGCACGGCTGCTGACTTTCTCCGTCACGGCAGGACTAGCCAAGGCATTTCCCCCGAGGAGCAGGCAGCCAGAGCCCTGAAGTGCTTATAACTGGATCCTGCAGGCCCTTCTCTGCACCTCTCGGCTGGAGGCCTGCTGTATGCCAGCACTGTCGGGGCTGCAGTCACACCAGGGGACGCAAAGGGGACCCTGACTCTGGAGACAGGAGAGGGGTGGGGCGCAGAGTTAAGCGGGAGAAGCAGGGAAAAGGTCATCTAGAGAGTGACTTGAGAGGAGGGCACGTGGATGTCCTGAGTGAGAGGGACTGGCCTGCCCACCTGGTGCATTCTGGAGCAACCCGGCCCAATGTTGGGTGGGGAGCGGGGCAGAGGGAGGGGTGAGGAGGAGGGTGTGCAGGGGCTGGGGAGGAGGGGTGCAGGGGCTGGGGAGAAGGGGTGCAGGGTGTGAGTAGGAGCAGGTGCAGGGGCTGGGAGGAGAAGTGCAGGGTTTAAGTAGGAGCAGGTACAGGGGCTGGGGAGGAGGGTGTGCTGGGAAGGAGGAGTCCCGGATGTGAGTAGGAGCAGGTGCAGGGGCTGGGGAGGAGGGGTGCAGGGGATGGGGAAGACGGGAGCAGGGTGTGAGTAGGAGCAGGTGCAGGGGCTGGGGAGGAGGGGTGCAGGGGCTGGGGAGGAGGGGTCCCGGGTGTGGGTAGGGGCAGGTGCAGGGGCTGGGGAGGAGGGGGTGCAGGGCTGGGGAGGAGGGTGTGCAGGGGATGGGGAGGAAGGATGCAGGGGTGTAGCCACATGAGGGGCATGGTTGGGGGGGCACTGGAGGGCTGGGTGCAGGGCCCTGCAGGCTGTGGGGAGGTGATGTTGGCCCGAATGGGGAGGTTCCGGTTGTCCACTCAGAGCCACCTGGAAAGCAGGACAAATGCCCAGAAGGTGGTCCTTCTGGGCCCTCCCGCCTCAGCGCCGGGCCCTGGGATGGCCTGGGCTTGAGGGTCCAGATGCTTAGGGTCCCAGCGCTGTGTCTGTCCCTTCCTGTGTCCTGGCACCTTGGGCCACAGCGCAGGTCTGCTTAGGGGGTTCTGTCGACTGCTGAGCTGAGGGCTGTCAGCCCCTCGGCTGGGCCCACGTGGACCCCGGCCATGTGGGGTCAGAGCCCTGCTGTGCGATCCCAAGTGGGGCCCCTCCCCCACACCCCATGTGTCGTGACCCTGAACACGCCGGCGTGTTTGTCAGAAATCCTGCGTCTGCGACTCATGGGGGAGGTGACGGGAGGCTTGCGCAGACCAACCGCGTGCGGTGCCCTCTGCAGCCTGTCTGAGTCACGGACGGCGTTAGCCTCCCCCAGCGGAGAAGGGCGCAGGTGTGCGACATATGCAGATGGTCCCACGGTGAAGACCAGCACTTACTAAGTGCTTGTGCAGCCCACGACCGACGCGGGTCCACGGGGTGGCACCTCGGTCGTCAGGAGACCCCGTGGGGCGGACACCACCACCCCTCTGCATGCGCGGGGCCCGGACGACCGGATGTGCCCCTCCCCTGGTCCCCAACCACGCACAGACCACAAGCCCCACGGTGTCCATGCAGTCCACGTGCCAGGTCTCGGCTCCGAGCAGCAGCTGCAGGGTCGAATTTCGCTTGAGCTGTGTGTCTGAGGGTCACTGCGCGCTGACATGGACACGCACGCACACGCATGGCCCCACACACGCACACACATGCACACATGCGTGTGTGCACACACAGGTCTACGTGACCGACTATCCTTATTCTCAGTGACTTTCATGGATACAAATCTTCCTGAAAAAAATCGCAAACAAAAATTCAAACACACCGTGCAGCGGGCTGGAAGCCGTGGGCTGCCGGGAACAGAGAGTGAGACTCACCGCCTGCTCCGCGGGAGCCCGCAGCGCCTCATCGGGGGTCACAGGCCTCACCACGAGCTGGGGTTACAAACCACACTGCCTCCCACTCCTGAGACACATTTTGTTTTCTGTCGGCTTACACATGTGCCCTCACACGTACGAGGGAAACTGAGGCACGGGGTCAGGGAGCGTCCTGCGACCTCCCATGTGCAGTGTCTGCTGGGAATGCTAGCTCGGCACCTCGTATGCGCTCTGCTCTGCCCGCGGGGCCACGGCCACCGTCTGGGCGGCACTCGGACCCCAGGTAAGCCGCTCTGCATCCTTGGATGCCCCCCCCCACAGCTTGGCCATCCC